CCGCCGCGCAAGGCCTGCCGGGAGTCGTAGTCCGCAGCCAGCCGCGGCCGGGCGCTGGGGGGCGCGCGGGGGCCGCAACTCCCAGGAGGCCGTACGGCCGCAGCGGCAGCGGCGCTGACGCACGAGGGTGAGGGGAAAGGTGCGCGGACAGGCCGGCCCGGGGACGGGCTCCGCGTGGCCAGGAAGAGGACTGGGAGTGTGCTCGCGTCTGATGACGTGGGCGCGCTCGGGGAGACGACGGAGGGCCCGAAGGAGCGGGCTCCGCGCCCGTCCTCAGGCCAACGCGGAAGCACCCACAGGTTCTCCTGGGAGCCTGCACGCAAAAGGACGCTCGGGGCCGCAGGGGGCGGGGCCGGCGCGGGAAGTCCGTCAGGGGGCGGGGCCGACGCGTGGCTTCGTCGCCCCGCCCTACGTGGCGAGGCGGGGTTCGGAGAGGAGACGCGGCCTCCGGCGCCTGCGCAGTGGCGATCCTGAGGACGCATCCCGTGGCCTTAGAGACGGAGGCTCCGAGGTGACATCGCGCTCGGGCGGACAGGCGGGGCTTGCGGGGATGCAGAGGCGAGGCGTCGGCGCAGGCTTTGCTTTTTGTGTTAACCTGTCCTCACTGCAGTGACGGCGGCGCGCGGTTTCAGTTCAGCAGAGCTGACGACGGTGAAAAGCGACGGCCCCGGCGCGCTTCCGCCCCGGCTCCTCCCGAGCCAAGCCCTGCCTTCCACCTGGGGCCTCTCAAGGGAACTGCATGTGACTAGACAACGACTGCTATTAATGTCGGACGGGTCTGCAGACCCCCGAGAAGGTCACCGAGAACTTGGCTCGCCAGACAACTCCCCTGCCCCCCCCCCCCCCCCCCGCCCCTCAAGGGTCGTGCGACTCCCGGGCTGTCACGCTTAAACCAGCTGTCCACGTTGACAGCTTCATGGCCGTACCTGCTGCACCTGCTTCTGCATGAAGCCACGCCGCCCTTCCTGGGCAACCTCCGGTCTTCCTCTGGAGTTAACACTTGCCTAGTATTTTCATATCCCTAACACACGGCTAATGTTTTTTTCACATGATTCGACGTCTTTGCCACATGCCTATCAAAAACATTTTCCAAAAGCTCAAACACATCTGTTTAATTCCCAGAGGCCTCGCTCAAAGAGCCCTCTACCATACCCAACCTATACTAAATGCTTCGTGAGCCTCCTGCACGGCTCTCTCTCGAGCTTTTCTCTGCTGTCATTCTGCGACTCTCTCCCCCTTTCTCGTGCTCTAGATTCCCTGTTTCCTGGAGTCTGTGCCATCTTTCTTCTTTTGCTGAAGTAAGTCCTGTAATAACTTCCTAGAAAGGGTACATGTCTAAACATGTGTTTATTCTACTCTAGGGTACCCCAGTCCTCCCACTTTCTGTATCCTGACCGAGAAACACAGTGCCTTGGCTGGAGGCACTTTGTGGCCTGGCCAGCAGCACGTTTTCCCCTGAGGGTTTGAACCCAAGCAGGGGCCTTGAGTATTCCCAGATACTGGTAAGCTTGGTGAGGTTGTGCTGACCTAACAGAAACCGAGGCTGAACATATAAAACACAGGATTTATTGAGCCAAAATGAGGATTGCAACCAGGGAAACACATAGGCCAGGTCACCCTGAGATATGCTCTCCCAAGGGGGCCAGCCGAGCTTAGCATTTTATACTCATGAGAAGGGGGCTTGTTTGGTTAGCTCAGTTGGTTAGAGGGTGGTGCTGATAACACCAAGGTCCAGGGTTTGATCCTTGTACTGGCCAGCTGCCTTCTTGTGATTATAAAAACAAACAAGAAAAATCACAAGGGGGAGAATCAAAGGCGAGAGAAAGAGAGAGAGGATAGTCCCACCTAATCATTTCATCAGTTCTTCTATTGCCTGTACATGACGGGATCGATTTGGGATTGTTACTAGGTTACACCGTATATGCAGGGATCTAGATAAGGATTATAAGTATTCTAGGTTATTTTATGACTTTCTGGTGCCATCATGTCTGCTTCTAAGTAAGAATGGTCTTATGATAACGTATTCCAGGACATGCAGGCGTGACTACTGACTTATCCCAGATCCCCTAAGGCACTACAATTTATCTGACCTAGTCAGAGCAGATTTTTTCGTTATCAGTTGTTGCCCAAAACACTGAGGATCAAACATGTTCTTAAACGTGTAGAAACTAGCTCAGCCTCAGTCAAATTCCTTAAGTCCTCATATAAACATAAAGAAGGGTGAGCTGGTTAGTTCAGTTGGTTAGGGCATTGTGTTATAACACCAAAGTCAAGGGCTCAGATCCCCATACTGGCCAGCCACCAAAAATAAATAAGTAAATAAACCCCAAAAGAGCTCAAAATAAGCTGTGCAGTATGAAAGAAATTAGACATTGCCTTAAGCCTAGATCTCTGTTCCATGTGGAACGCGTAAAATATCATCTAGAAATAAGACTGATAGAACTGTCTCATTCCTATATAATCCACTATTTTAAACACACATTTTAGATATAAATTTCTTTTTTTTTGTTTTTTTTTTTTGTTTTGTTTTGTTTTTTTTTTTGTCTTTTATCTTTTTTCCGTGTCCGGCAAGGAT